ATGAGGTCCGAAATCTTTTTTATAAAACAAAAATCTAATTATTATGCAAAATAAATGGAAAAAACCCACACGGCCCCAGAAGCCCCAGGTCAGGCTATTGCCTAGGAATTCTTCAACAACCAAAAAGCTAGTGTTTTGGCCTTTATTGGTTTCTGGCCGAACCCTCAGCACCTTTAACATCATTGGACAAAAAACAATTTTCTTGACCTAAATCATCATCAATAGCTGCATACCCAATTTCTTCCCTGTATAGGCCAGAAAATCCATGTTCATTTTTTATTTCTTGTACTTAAAATTCAAGCACTGCCAATTTCATTGGGGTTTAATACACTGGTGCTTGTCCTCCAATTGTTGATGCTCCAATTCCTGCAGCGTGTTCCCTGCATAATGAGAGGGCCGTGGTTGTGTGCCCGCATATGGGCTTTTCGCTGCCAAAGCTGGCCAGCTACGGGGATTTGGACCAAGTGAGGGGAAGGCCCGAGGGCCATCGGGACGCGGAGTAGCCGCCACTAACCTCGTTTTCTACTCGAGGTGCGGGATGGCGGCAGGTCACATGCATTTGGCTTCTATGAAATTCAAGGGCCTCTATGATGGCAACCCAGTTCTGGATTTAATTTAAAAGGATTAAAAAAAGCAGCAGTGGGGCAGCAACCACAGACACCTCAGGGATGAGGGCTGCAGGGAAGAGCACATTACAAATTACTTGTCTTCTAGTGGAACTTTCAGATTGAGTTAAATCCTAAATTTAAGGCTACATTTTATCTCGTGGGAGCAGATGCAGACACACACTCACACTTCAAGAATCTTAGAGAATGTGAGAGTTTATTCAAAGTTACCGGGATGCCTGGGTGGCTCGAGGTTGAGCACCTGTCCCTGGCTCAGGGTGTGGCCCTGGGGTCCTGGGATCGAGTCCCACATCAGGCTCCCTGCCTGCTTCTCCTTCTGCCTACATGTCTCTGCCTTTCTCTGTGTCTTTCAAAAAGAAATAAAATCTTAAACAAACAAAAACCAAAGTTACCCAAGTTTTGACGGTTGTTAACCTGGCACAGAAGTCAGAAATTTTTTTTTTCCCAGTAAAGGCAGAGCATGCATGTGTTGTTTTCTAAACAGGATCAGTACTTTCTGCAGTCTTCCTCCAAAGTACTACCATTCACCACACCATCAAAGCCCAGAGGACCGCGGACTAATACTACTACACTGACTCCAATCCAGAGCAGCCTCCCAAGGCCTCCACCCCTGCATCCTGTCCCCTAGAGACAAGAACAAAGACCGTCTACCTCCCACTGTTTCCTTTTTTTGCATTTTGGCTCTTTAAAAACAAATCAATGGGTTAACAGAGTTTATACCTCTTTTTTGGTACTGATATTTACAGTTAAGCCAAAGATTTAGGGTCAGTGTATCACACTATTCCACTTAGAATCTATTAGCTTTATTTAAAATTATGGTAATTTTAGAAAGTTCTATGATGGAAGGAAGAGTAACAGGGACTTCTAGGTTAATATTAGTTTTAACATGAAGATAAGAAGATAGGGTAGGACAAGCTGGGAAAGTTAAATTGCTCCTACATCAATGAATTGCTATTATCAATCTGTACTTCTCTCGCCAAAGATACACTTTCTGAAAAGGCACTATATTGGTCTCAGGCAGAACCACGGGCCAATAAAATACAGAATTTATTTCGAGAAAGTTAAGAGGAACAATCAGTGATAATGTTTTCAAACATGTAGGAAACTTTGAAAAAGTCTTCTCAAAGCAGAAATTCCCACAACATTCATTTTACTGAAAATACTAACGCTGCTCTTAAAACTTCCCTTCAGAGCCTATAACATATTCTTTTGCAAATCCTTAAGAGATGCAAATTTTATGGCTTCAGTCAAATATCCCTTGTGGGGAAGAGGCAAAAACCCCAAAATGTCTTATTAAATATTTACTTGGAATAAAGTACACATCAGCCACCCCCAGGTCTCAAAACCACCTGTTACCCTCACACAGATTATAATTAGATTGTTACTTTGCTTTAACCTTGAAAATGGTATTTTGGAAAAGTCAGGTAGAAAGTTGCTTAAGGAAAGATTAGATGCAGAACACTGAGGGTGATGAATGGGATGAAGAGGAGCAGACAAGGCTTGTGTGTGTGTTTGAGAACAATGGTAGAGAAGGCAGTAGAGGCAGTGAGAGAAAAGTGTGCTTAAAAGGGCAAGATGTACTGAAGTCACAGGGATTATTCAAAGGATCCTTAAAAATTTCAATCACCTAATATATTCTATATTTCTAAGACCAGAGTACAATCCATGAGGTCAACAATTTATTGAAAAAAACAAAAACAAAAACAAAAAACCCAGGGGCACCTGGGTGGCTCAGTTGGTTAAGCATCTGCCTTCTGCTCAGGTCATGATCTCAAGGTCCCAGGATCGAGCCCCACATCGGGCTCCCTGTTTCAGTGGGGAACCTGCTTCTCCCTCTCCCTCTGCTCCACCCTACCACTCTCTCGCTCTTAAATAAAATCTAAAAACAACAACAAAAAACCCCCCAAACAACCCAGCTTTAAATGTTTAATTGGAGACAAAAACTACCAGAATACGGTGCTCCTGGCATATACATGCTCTGTAGTCAGATTAAAGGTGATAAAATGGGAAGATCTTGGAGTGTCAGGAAAGCAAAAGGTTAAGTCCACATTATTCAAATTTTGCTGATCAACTATTTAGCACACTGATCATTATGTTAAGCACATCAAAATATTTCAAGGGCCTTCATAGCTATATAACCCTTCCCAATCCTATTACCTCCTTAATGTTTTCAACTTTCTTAAGATAATAAATTTATCACTTTATAGAGGCCAATTTTCTTCCATGTTATCTTCCAATGCCTGCTACTAGTTATTAGTTGCAATTCGGTTTCTGTGTTTATATGCTGGGAGTTGACAGTGCTTTCAGTACATGCCTTTTGGTAAATGGGATAAATTGAGAAGAGAATTGTATCTTACACTTCAGTACAAGCCAAGTGCTACGGTATCAGTGCCTCAATATGGCTGATGCGGTTTGTTGCTAGGTTCAGTATTTTGGTATCACAACTGCTGTGACAACAAGAGGAGGAGGACTGACAAACTATGGCAAATCTTAGTTGCTTTAGTAAATTTGTGGAGTTGAGATTTTTAAAGATAGGAGAGGGCTTGGCCTATTAAGACCACAGGATTATAAAGAACTTCAAGGACACGAAATCAGATCCTGCAGAAAAACACACATACTGGTTTAGTTGCTTATCTCTTAAGTGACTGGAAAATATTGCCAACAGGATAGTAATATAAACTAGACGGCCATTTTAAAGAAACACTGCAATTTAGTGTTTGCTAACTTCTCTTTCTCCAACATCCTTGTTTGGTTTTCTTGGGAGTCTAAAACGTGTATTCTTGTTTAAGAGAATAAGGGAGTGGTAGGAAGAAGGAAGAGGATGGCGGAGATTGTACTTTTTATGTAATTTTGGAGGCACAAAGGGAAATTAGAGGTCAAAGTGGCTCAAACGTGTAAGTTTGAGAAGAGGAAAGGGAGCTAGAGGATAATTAAGCTCTAAAGGTATGTCCCAGAAGAGGGTGGGGTCAATGCAGATTTAGCAAGTAAAACATTAAACAGTTTCAGGCAACCTTTGTTCCCAGGCTGGAAGGGCCAGCAGGGCTCAAATTTCTCTAGTAGAGAGATTTTTAAAAACTATCCTTAGACTTCAGCTAGTAGAATAGAACACTGTACCAGGCTCGTGGAGACAAAGGGTCCAGCCCAACATCCTCTCTGTGCTTGTTAGCCAAGCAGCCTCCAGCAAGACTTCAACTTCCTGGGCCTTTTATCGGACATCGTTCTCTTTCAGTAGAAAAAAAGCGATTGTGCCTTCTTTCTAGGTTATGCCTAGGCACCTTTAAACATGTATTGTGCAATTTCTTGGGGAAAAATTTTTTTAAGAGTTTATTTCCTCAAGGGAAGCAATCTGACAGTATAGAAGCCAAATGTACAGATATTCCCAAATTTAACTGCAGGATAACTGGGTAACTACCAAATTGTAATCGACTCAGCTCCTTTCTCCAGTACTTATCTTCTCCCCAAGCTCAAATCTGGTGCTAGCCAGGACCGGTACACACCCCCAGGGCTATTTCATTCCATTGGCTGGCGGGCCGGCCTGCATTCTACACCCTTTAGATTTACTGTCACGGCGCCTGGTGTTTGTCGGAGAGGATACCTTGCTCGTGTATTGCTTTTTTTTTTTTTTGTTTGTTTGTTTGGTGTGTGTGTGCAAAACAGAAGCTGTCAGGGCAGAAAAATAACTCGCCTTAAAAGACCAACGTGTCATTAGTGAAGTCATCTGTTAGTACACGGTCTAGATTTCAAACCGAAAAGGCAAATTCACTCTGTAGGTCTCCCGATCGTCTGTCGCGGATGTGAAAAGGAGCGTATAAAAAAAACAAAAACAAAACAAAAACACCACCCTGGAAATAATTGTCTCATAGTTTGCGTTCCGGTGAGTCATAGAAGCTCACAAAAACTTGAAAAAGGCACCGTCAGATCCGGCCGGCCATTCCCATTTCCAGAAGGGCGTTCGCCGGGCCCACCCGGGCCTCCTGCACCCGCGACCACGGAGCCGCCGCCCGCATCCGCAGGCCCAGGCCGGGGTGCCGCGACCAGGGCGGGGGCGGAGCGGCGAGGAGGGGAGGACGAGGAGGGGCGGAGGTGCCCGCGACCCGGCAGGTGCAGGACGACGGCTGGGGGATGCGAGGAGGGGCGCGGGTGCCCGCGACCCGGGCAGGGGTGGAGGCCGGGGGGCGGCGGACAGGGGCGGGGCGTCGCGGGCTCATCTCCCCTGCAGGGCGTGCGGTGCCGGCTGTGCTGGGCCGGGGCAGGGGTCGTGGGGGAGGACGGGGGTCGGGGATAGGTCGGGGATAGGTCGCGGGGCGGCAGGGGTGGAGGCCGGGGGGCGCGCAGGGGCGGGGCGGGGCGGGGCGGGGGGCGGCGCGGGCTCACCTCCCTTGCAGGGCGTGCGGTGCTGGCTGTGCTGGGCCCGGTAGCCCTCGATGACCTCCCAGGAGCCGTCGTCGCGGCGGATGGGGAAGGACAGGCTGAGCACATGGTTGCAGGGCTTGATGATGCGCAGGATGCCGCGCACCCGGTTCCGCCGCTGCTCCTCGCTCTCGCGCGTCCGCAGGTCCTCCACCAGCTTGTCCTCCACGATGCTGGCGCCGCGGTCGAAGAAGCCCTCCACCATCTTGAAGAAGTTGGGGTCGTCCTCGCGGTCGGCCGCCGCCTCGCTGTAGTGCCTCCGCGCGGGCGGCGGGGCGGCGGGGGGCTGCGGGCGGGCGCGGCCCCGCAGCGCGGCGGCGTCGGGGGCGGCGGAGGCGGCGGAGGCCAGGGCGGCGGGCCCGGCGCGGGGCAGCAGCAGCGCTTCGCCCAGGCGGCGGTACATGGCGATGGCGGCGGCGGCGGCGGCGGCGGGCGGGGGCCGCGGGCGCAGGGAGCTCGGCCCGGCCGCGCCGCCCTTTTAAGCGGCGGCTTCCTCCCCGGGGCTGTCCCCTCCCCTCGGGCGCCCGCCGCCGCGCGGGAGGACGGGCTTCGGGGCCGCGGCCCGGGCGGCCTGCGACGGGCGGGGCGGGGCGGGGCGGGGCGGGGCGCGCCCCCCGGGAGCCGGGTCTCCGCCTCAGCGCGGTCTCGCGGGCGGGGCGCGGGGGCGGGGCCGGGCACGCGGGGGCGGGGCCGGGCGGGGCCCAGTGCGCATGCTCGCGCGGCGGGGGGCGGAGCGACGGCCCGGCGGGAGGAGCGGACCCGCGCGGAGGCGGTGTCTCAGGTCTGTGCGCGCCCCCGACCTCGTCCCGGGGAGGGGGGGCCGCGGGGGGAGCGGGAGGCAGCCCGGGAACGGGGGGGCAGCCGGGGGAAGGGGGGCCGCGGGGGGAGGAGGGAGCGGCCGGGGGGGAGGGGGAGCCGCGGGAGGAGGAGGGGGCAGCCCGGGGCGGGGGGGCAGCCCGGGGAGGGGCCGGCGGAGCAGGGGCTCTCCCGCCTCTGGGGGGCGCTGAGCGGCGGGTCCCGGGCCCGCCGGGGAGGCGCCGAGGCCTGGCGCGGGTCGCGCCGGGTGAGTCACCAGTGCCGCTCCCGTCCGCTGCCCCGCCCGAGCTCCGGCGGCCGGCAGCCCGAGGAGCGGCTTGGCGGGGGGGGGGGCTGGAGACTCCTTCCCCGCCGCCCGAGTCCCCGGGGAGCCGTCGGCGCTGCCCCGCGCAGCCCCGGGCGCTGTCAGGGTGGAAGGCGGCCCTCGCGGCCCAGAGCGGCTTCTGCAGACCTGGGGCCGTGACCCGGGGTCGGGCCTGGAGCGGCCTCTGCAGACCTGGGGCCATGACCTGAGGTTGGGCCTGGAGCGGCCTCTGCAGACCTGGGGCTGCGACCCGGGGTCGGCCTGGAGCGGCCTCTGCAGACCTGGGGCTGCGACCCGGGGTCGGCCTGGAGCGGCCTCTGCAGACCTGGGCCTGGGACTGCAGCGGCCTCTGCAGACCTGGGGCCGCGACCCGGGGGCGCTGGCCCCTGCGGGGCGCTGCGCCCTGCGCTCCGGGTGGGCCGCGCGGCTTCAAGCAGCCGGGGACCCCGTCTGTTAGACGAGGTACCGACCGGAGGCCACATGCCCGGCTGTAGTTTTCCCTGTGTACTTTGCTGGTTTTATTTATTTAAAAATTTTTTTTCTTCTATTTATAATTTATGATAGTCACACAGAGAGAGAGAGGGAGAGGCAGAGACATAGGCAGAGGGAGAAGCAGGCTCCATGCACCAGGAGCCCAACGTGGGATTCCATCCCGGGTTTCCAGGATCGAGCCCTGGGCCAAAGGCAGGCGCCAAACCGCTGCGCCACCCAGGCATCCCTACTTTGCTGGTTTTAAAGTGTCACCTTTTTGACCTGCGAAGCGACCCCGCGTCCCCGCACTCCCTTCACTCCTCTGTTACGCCGCGGTAGAGAATGGCCTTGATTCCTACAAGGCGCTGACAGGTGTGAAGGGAAACCTGCGTGGGTTAGATGGCTCGGCCCTCTCGGTGCTCTCAACGCCAAGAAGACGCACATTATATTTTATCTTGTTTGGTATAGATAAATGTGTCATTATTTCTATTGGTTGTTTTCCAGTGAAAACTATTCTCTGAACTGAAACCTGGATTTGTCTTCTTGATTAAGAAAATGAAGGTACCAATTTGCTTTTCACTTGATGGCTTCATTTTACATTGCAAAAAAAAGAGAAAAGAAGCAAAAACCAAAACAAAAAACCCCATGAAAAACAAACCCCAAATCCTGAAATTTTAGAATAAAGTGGACTAGCATCCGTAAACATGTGGACATTTTCTCTCTTCAAATTAAATTCTTTGGTATGTTCTGGGGAAAGTGGTTTTAAAAGCTTAGTTCTATTACCCTGTTTATCTCATTCGTGATAACCATAGCCTTCAGAAAAATAAATGTTTAACTTTGCTTCTTCCGAGTTTTATTCATCTGAATTCAAAAGTCAGAAAGGCTATGGAAGTAGCAAGGAGATCATTTTTAACCCAGGACAGCCTCCTGTGTATAAATGCCTTACAGAATGGCTCCACGAGAACCCTATGAACCTAGATGCTTTCATTTCTTAAGTCTTCGTTATGTTTTAGAAGTCATAAAAATTTTTTTCAGATGTTTAAAGAGTGACAATTTCCAAACAACACTACTCTCCCTCCCCCCATTTAGTAAGTAGTTCCAGTATTTCTTTTTAAGCTAAAGTAGGTATTATAATTCCTGATTTAATGCAAGAGGGAACTGAAGCTCCCAGACACCAAGTAGATTGTTGGTGGTCACCTAGCTGGTAAATAGTGGGCTGAGACTCAAACCTGTGTATTTCACACCAGAGTTACTCTATTGCCGCAATGCCAAGAAATATTTTAAGTATGTGTTGCATTTAGTTTAATTGGTGATGTAAGGTCTTGTGAGTTTCAGCTTTACCTTGATGATCTGTTTTATTTTAAATTACAGTATGGTTAGTGTACAGTGTTATATTAGTTGCAGGTGTACAATGGAGTGATTCAGCAATTCTACAGGTTACCTTGATGATTGCCTCTATAAAATATACAGTTATTTTGCAAATTAAAGTTTAATTAGTAGTAATTTCCATTTCAAAAGGAAGCCAGAATTTAACTTGGAGGGAGTTTTGGTCATTTGATAATGTTCAACAAAGACAAATCAGTTTTCTGCCTTTGATATTTATGAGTTTTCCTTAGCTGTTTTAGAATTCTAGGTCATTTCTCTTTGATGTATTGCATGCTTTTGTGTTTTCAAGTGCTTTTAAGAATATTTCAGAAGAAGAATTTTAAGATTTAGAAAGACATAACATAAAAATAAAAACATCATAGCATTTTAAAAAATGATTTGACAAAGTAATACTTTCCACCTTGTATCTGTTTATACTTGTCTCTTCTGGACATTTCCTTTAGACCAAATGGTACAATACCTAGCCCTTTGTGACTGGCTTCTCTTACTTAGGATAATGTAAAGATTTCATCTATGTTGTAGCATGGATCAGTATTTCATTTCTTTTTATGGCTAAATAGTATTCACTGTATGGCTTTATCACGTTTTTTAATCCATCGTGGACATTTGTATTATTTTCACTTTTTGACTGTTGTGAATAATGCTGTTATGAACATTCTTGTGCAAGTTTTTGTGTGGACATGTGTTTTCACTCCTCTTGGGTATATATTTAGGAATGGAATTGCTGTTTAATCTTTTGGAAAAAAAGGTTTTAACCTTGAGAAACTGCCAAACTGTTTTCCACAAACTACCCATTTTAATTCTTGCTAGTAGTGGATGAGGAATGCATTTTCTCTGCATCCTCCCCAACACATAGTATTATCTGGGGGTGAAGTGATAGCTCATTTTAGTTTTGACTTGCATTCCTTTGGTGGCTAATGATGTTGAACATCTTTTCATGTGCTCATTTGCATATGTTTTCTTGGAGAAATGTCTATTCATTTCCTTTTCCCATTAAAAAAAAAAAAGAGAGATTTTATTGGGACTCCTGGGTGGCTGAGTGGTTGAGCATCTGCCTTTGGCCCAGGGCATGACCTTGGTATTGAGTCCAACAGCATCGTGCTCCCTGCATGGAGCCTGCTTCTCCCTCTCCCTGTGTCTCTGCCTCTCTCTTTATGTCTCTCATGAATAAATAAATAAAATTAAAAAAAAAAAAACCCAAAACAAAAACAAAACAAAACACAAATACCTTATCAGATACATGATTTGCAAGTGTTTTCTACTATTCTGTTGTTTTTTCTCTTTTTTGATGGTGTCTTTTGAAGCACAAAAATTTTTTATTTTTTTTGTCCAATTTATAAATGTTGCTTGTGCTTTTGTTAGCATGTCTAAGAAATGATTGTCTAATTGGAGGTCATGAAGAGTTACATCTGTGTTTTCTTCTAAGAGTTTTATAGTGTTAGCTTTTATATTTAGGTCTTTACATTTAGTTCTTTCATATTTTAAAAGAACTAAAATGGATATTGAGTTGATTTTTGTTTATGGAATGAGTTTTGTATATGGAGTGGACAAAATGTTCTCAAAATGGACATCGAGTTGATTTTTTATACGGAATGATAAAGGAATCCAATTTTATTCTTATGCTTGTGGATGTCCGTTTGTTCAAAAGGCTGTTTCTTTCCCCATTTAATTGTCTTCACACTCTATCAAAAATTAACTGACCTAAATGTGAGGATTTATTTCTGGACTCTTGAGTTCTTTGTTCACATGTCTCTCTTTATGCTAGTAGAACTCCATTTTGAGTATTGTAGCTTTGTAGTAGATTTTGAAATTGGAAAGTGTTGAGTATTCTTTGTTCTTTTTCAAAATTGTTTGGTTATACTGCATCCTCTGACTTTTCATATGAATTTTAGGATCAAGTGGTCAATTTCTGCTCTGATTCTGCCTAGAATTTTGGAAAGGGATTGTGTTGAATCTGTAGGTCAATTTGGGGGGTGGTATTTTAATGATACCACATCTCTGACCCATGAGCATGAGATGTTTTTTCATTTGTTTAGGTCTTTAAAAATTGCTCTCAGCAGTGTTCTGTCTTTTCAGAATAGAAGTTCTGTATTTCTGGGGGCGCTTGGGGGGCTCAGTGGTTGAACGTCTTGCCTTCAGCCTAGGGTGTGATCCCGGGGTCCTGGGATCGAGTCCCACATTGGGCTCCCCGCATGGAGCCTGCTTCTCCTTCTGCATGGGTTTCTGCCTCTCTGTGTCTCTCATGAATAAATAAATAAAATCTTAAAAAAAAAAAAGGTCTGTACTTCTTTCATTAGGTTTATTACTGAGGGGCGCACGGGTAGCTCAGTTGGTTAAGTGTGTCTGACTATTTTAGCTCAGGTCATGATCTCAGGGCGGTGAGATGGAGTCTGTATCTTGGGGCTCTGCACTCAGCAGGGAGTGCTACTTGAGAGTCTCTCCCTCTGCCCCTCCCTGTCCCGCTTGTGCACATACATGCTCTCTTAAATAAATAAGTAAATCTTTAAAAACAAAAGTTTTTTACTGAGCCTTTTATTCATTTTGATGCTATTATAATTGGAATTGTTTCCTTAACTTCCTTTTTAAGTTCTTCTTT